TAATATTTCATTTATAATAATATAATATTTACGATGGGAGCAAATTTAAATTCCGAAAGAGCAAATTGGGAGCAGTTTTTTAAAATAAAAATTGTTAAGAAACGTTAATATTCCGCGCCAACTATATTACAGTGATCTTTAATGATCTCTCTTCAGCACGATGTTACTTATGAATATGACAGGTGGTTCTAGAACTTCGTATAGAGCGCATTAGTGTCGTAAACGTGTGTTGGCGCATGTTGAGTTCTGTCGTTGCTGTCAAATTCAAAAGAATACTGTTCGATTCTTTTCTGAGGAACTCTATTTTTTGACAAGATCAAACGTTGCTTATATCGATTCTATCGTGAAGAATTAACAATTGTACAAGCCGTAAGTTTCATATTTACATTTATTCTCATGCACGGCAGTTGCCTAACCTATACGAGAACGTTTTTATATTTTTGGGTAATGTTTTATATCATATGAAAGAAAATTGTCATGTTATTAGGCAATTAAATTGGGTTTAAATGATTTGCACTGAAATTCTGTGGTATTAGATTAAATATATAATTTTCAGTGGAATGGGTTTAACCTGTATTTGAATTCGATAAAATTGCATTACGTCATTCGCGTTTTGTGACATTTCTTTTGTTGATATGACTGATTTCACGTGATTTGTAGTTGAAATTATCCAATTTTATTTTAAATTTAATATTGAAATAATAATTTGAAGATAGAAATGAAAGCTTAGATGAAAATTATTGATTATGTTTATTACTATTTTTATTGATTGAAATATATTTTCTTCAAATATACAAATGCTATTCATTGACAAGTGGTTACTGTGTTGTTTATAACAATTAACTGACAGATGCCAAAAGCCTTTGAATTGGCACAGATTCAACTATTTATATCTTCTAATTGTAACCCTTTCTTTTACAGGTGTTATTAAGTAGTGGATTAATTGTTAAAATGGCCGATTGTGAGGAGACACAAAAGGCTGAAGATCCTATGAAGCATTATGAATTCGATGGGGAATCATATATTTACAAGGATTCCACAAGTAATGTAACGTACAAATTTGATCGAGAGAAGAATGAATGGGTGGTGAAAGAGGATGGTAAAGAATCATGTGGCAATGAAGCTACGAAACAGGAAGGAGTATTTGGTTTCGAAAATGATACTCACACATACACAGACCCTAATGATGGCAGTGTCTATTTTTGGGACAAGGAAAAAAATGCCTGGTTCCCAAAGGTAACTTACTTTTCAACTATTATACTACTTCTCAGTTTTTAACACAATTCTTGCATGATTCAAATTTATCATTGATATTAAATTTGTCTGAATGATTTCAGGTGGACGATGACTTTATGGCCAGATATCAAATGAGTTATGGATTCACAGGTTCAGATAAGATGGAGACAAAACCTGTAGAACCACCTCAACCCCAAGCAAAAGTTGACAAAGAGAAAAGAAAGGCTGAGATTAAACGAAAAGCACAAGAGCCACCGACGTGGTTCGAAGTGGACGAAGCTCATAATACTGCTATTTATGTATCTGGACTACCATTGGATATCACCATGGAGGAGCTCACGGAACTTTTTAACAAGTGTGGTCTAATTGCACGGGATGAAAAGAACAAGGACAAAATCAAGCTGTACAAGGATTCCAATGGGCAACCCAAAGGCGACGCACTCTGTATCTACATAAAGGTGAGTAATTATTTATTTCAATTGCATGTTCTAATATATCATACAACGTTTTAACTTACAACGAGTTATTTCGAGTGTCATAGATAAACGTTAATAAGAAATAAATTAAGATACACAATACATTGATTAAAAATTGAAATTAAGCAATATTTCGTCATAATAATTTCGCATAGAATTTTTATTGACGTTGTGTACACCATGTTACATACAGACGATACATAATACTTTGTGTAATTAATGTATTTACAAGGAAGGAAACGGTGCATAATAATTTATTAATAGTACAAAACATTAAACTCATAAATAGAACGTTGAGGTTCGAATACAATACAATTTGAATACAAATAGTATGTAAATTAGTGTACGCGATATACACACTTGAGTAACATTTAAGCACATCGCATAATATTTTAGAAGCGTTCAACTTATAATTAAAACTTATAGTCTCACAAAATAAAATTCTAAAAAGTATTTTATCAGTAAAAAAGTTTTATTCTATCGTAATTATTTATACAGTATCGTTTAAACTAAGGAATAAAAAATAAGAGTCTTGACATATTTCAAACTGATAGACTAAATAATATATGGATAAACATCAGATATATATATATATATATTTTCGTTTTTTGAGTGACATTGATATGCATTCAGTGCATTGTTCATTCGTAATGGGGTACATCTAGAAAGTAGTCAGCATAAAGCTATTGATATTTAAGCAGTTCTGATATGATACACTACTTGCTACCGTGTTTTTATTATTATTTTAAACATTTGTTTAACGTGAAAACAGATTTTTCAGCAAGTGCTTTTTGCGAGGGCAATTATATAGAAAGAATTCTGAGATACATTTAAATTTAAATAAAGCAAAGTGATAATAATTAGTTTGCAATTAAATATCTTCTATGCGTGCCTTCGAGCGCTTTAACATCTAACGACAAGCGAAACATTGCAACTCGCAAATAGTTTATACGCATTTAATGCGCGTAGATTAAATAAAAGAATGAAATTTGAACACATCGTACTCGATACGCGAACATCGAAGTTATTAAATCTACCGACTCGAGGTAACGTTACTATCTAGACATATACATATTCGAGAATCTAAGATCTATTAAAGAGAGGAACATGAGAAACTGCTTCGCCGATCGATATGAATAAATTACTTCAGTCTCTGCTGGATTTCAGCAGCATCATAGCGTACGTATAGCGTCTAGATGATTTTACTGTGCAACGAAATCGAAATGAGAATTAACTCTTTACTTGATTGGGAAAAGATTGCGAATGCTTGATAGATTGATCGATGATATTTAAAGCTACCAAATGAGAAGTTAAAATAAATAGTGCGTGTAATTGTGTTTATGGCTTTATCAGAACTTCCTCACTGGCCAAGTCGTTAATCTTGCCAGGGCTTTGAGGAAAGACTTTGCTCGTATCTGTTAGACTTTGTGGGCCGCCGCTTGGTCCGTCGCGTAGAAATGCACCGTATTCGTGTCCCCGAGGCGCGACTTGTTGGACTCGAGGATAATTCGGTTGAGTTCTGTTCTGATGATGTCTCATTCGAGGGCGTGGATACATGGCCTTCGCGCTGTAGTCATAAATTTAATTCAATCAATAGAAGCAGGTCTGTGATTTAAAATACATAAAAATTCTTTTCATTGCTAATTCACAATTTCTAAATGCAAATTGTGAGTAATAAAGTTTATATCCGAAACAGCTATGCTATTCTTATAATATATGAGTGTTGGAGATTAAAGATCTTACTTGGTTGGTGGCCTTGAACCCAACTTCACACCGTGCACCCAATAATCGTTCATATTCTGCTCGGCGAAATTTCTTCTCCATCCTCTCTGCTTCTTCTGTTTGTTCGGTTTCTGCGTGTCTTTCGAGTATTTCTTGCCCTTCTTTTGGTGCTTTAATCTTTGGTTTTGCGGTGCAAACGGATCCGCTGTCTTCTTGCGTCTTCTGGCTATAATTAATATATTTTTATACGAATGATTCGAAACATTCTTTTATTCATAGTATTGAATATTCCTTGAATGGTATCAATATAAATTGAATACGATAGGTTTGAAATAGCAGTTGAAATAAACTTTACGTATGCGTCCAGCCTGCACTTCGCACACATAGTGTTTCCGTTCGACGCAGCTTCGCGGGCTCCACTTATATTTTAACGTGGGATCGATCGTGACACAGTGCCATGCATACTGTTGCTTCGAGTGGTTGGATTGAGGTAGACCGAAATTTTGGAAAACCATTTTCTGCCCAGTCACTCCCCATTCCCAAGCCATTTGCTGCCAGTTGAATATCCCACCGATCCATCTCTCTAATTTTGCTGAAATCATAACAATACCCGTGCCGTTCAGCTGTCACAGATGGATACGAGTAATTTTTCGAACTGTCGATGCCCGACATTGAATCGATTTTCTTATCAAATATCACTTACTGAATTGATCACTCGACAGGTATTTTCTCAGCATTCGATCCTTTCCATTCCGATCGAGAATCGCCAGAGTGGCGTTTCTATCTTTGCAATGGAAATAGGCTTCTCTCCAGGGTGCCGTGCCTCCGCTTAAATAGTAGCAATATCTTTTTAATCGGAAGAATCCTATGGGACACGCGTATCGCTTTACGGCTTCGTTCTGTCGGCCAATCCTAGACCTGCTCGTAACTGCTGGATTAATACTGACATTGTACGGATGTGCCACGGCAGCCGATATGCCTGTAAAACAGAGGAGCACTCGTTTATTAATTATATTTATCTCTCCGTTCCGACGTTAATTTTAATCCAATTACAGTTTTCCCTTTTATCCATTTCACTTCTGTCGGGCAAGCCGTGCATTTGCATCACATAAAAATTGGAGGCAATGAATTTTACGTATTTTGCAAAATTGCCATGGCCTTTTCCGACTTAAGCATATTACAGCAGCATTCTCAGTCAAGGAGATCCTCAGGGACTGCACAACAATTTTGTCCGCAGTCCACATAAATTTCTTTCTCCTCCCGCATCTTTCTCGCGTTTGACGAGTATTAAACGAATGCCGCGCATTTGTCTGCGTTTTATGTGTCCAGATAGAATTGATGGCTACGCACAGCGAACGTAGGTAGAAGAAACACACTCAATAGCGGACCCATTACGTCATTGCGTCTGCAATGCATGCTGTAATATGCAACGAGGCCAAGTAGTTCAGTGTTACGGTCGTTCTCTCGTAGCAATAATTTCTTTCGTTCCGACGCTCTCCTTTTACGGATACAATCGAAGGGAATCAAATAAAATGTCAGACACGAGCTAGTAACAAGTTCACGTAATCTTCCAATTGCGAGAGCTTGTGTTTCTCGCCCTTGAACGCAATTTACAAGTTACGCAGTCGCATGCCTCTTTTTACGGATGAATAATTACAAATGTTCTGCATTATGTTTATTGAATTAACTCCTAGGACGTAAAATCGTAAAAGAAATGAGTAGAGTTGTTTCATTTAGAAATAATTTTCTCTTATTTCCAAAGCGACAACAATCCTTTCCTAGCGTTCTACAATTATCAGATGAAAGGAAAATTGTTGATGTGTATCATAAATTAGCAAAGATGCTGTTGCTAGCAATTTAGTTGTCGCTAGGTACCGTGGTAGCTAATTATCGTGTGAAAACGTATACATTTCTTATAGCGCCTGCAGTTGAAAAGCTTAATAGACTCTGGTATTTAACTCCCTTAATCATTTTCTATTTGCTTTCTGTCGATGGCATTTAGGTTTAAAGTACTCAGCATGAATGATATTAAAATATAGGACAACTTTGTGCTAATTATAATAATGGTGTAAGTTCAAATACTTTTAATTATTTATGTATTATTTATTTTTCGTATTATTATTCGTATTTCTAATCATAAATGTAATGATAATATCGTTCAATTCTTTTAATGAGAAATAGTTCTACGTTGCAGAGAGATTCATCGCGAATTTTCGAACTCCGTTTGCTTCATTCATTCTCAAGTGCCTAACACGAGTTTGGACTTCCGTGTATCACGAAGTGTTCCTAACCCAGTTCAATGTGTTTGATGTTGCCCGTTCTGCGAAGAGCGAGTGATATCATCCGCGAAAGTTATACGAACCACACCAAATGGCATTGCGTTCGTGCATGATAATTGCCAGGGTGGAAACGCAAAGTGCCAATTGTGCCATGCATCTTTCTCTTTGCTTTATTATCACAGGAGGATCCCCGGGGAACGCTAACTCTGGAATGGGTTATCAATTGATAGAAACTATTTTCATCATTTCTGAGCTGCACTCGGTTGCACGCAGCAGCTCGTTCTATTCTCAAACGCACTTTCCTTAAAACACGAGCACAAAATTTGTTACAAACTTCTGTACGAAGATTCTTTCATATATCTGTTATAAAATAATATGCTCTTCTCTTTTTTCTCACAATAATTTACCGGAGTGTACAGTAGTACTGATATACCAAGTTATAATAAGTTTTAGTTTTAAAGTGAACTTAGTTTGAAGCGAGATTACATTCGTATTTACACTATCTACCTCGGAGGCAATTTATGCATTCGTTTTAGAACGGGGACACATTTACATTTTCTTTGGTAATCGCAACTTTTCTTATTTATTTTCGACAGGTAACTGTTTTTCGAACTATCCGGCTTTAGAGCTACTCTAAGGCCGTGGGGTTTTTCATTCTTCGAATACCATTCAGGTTGAAATCATAGACACATGGCTACGTGCATGCTGGTGCTTTATCTGTCTGTGTATTCATGCAAAATTGCATCGGATGTAGCTTAGCTGATATTCCTATGCGGCCAGTGTACTGTTCAGTATTCAATGTAAATCCGGCTTTCAGCAGATAGCAGGAACAAATTGTCTTTTCCCTCAAAGTGTATTATGACAAATGAATGAACTCGACGTAGTCGAGGCAGACGCTTGTCAGGCTTGTATATAATTTCAGTTTGTTATTATTGTTTCGCATTTTGTATGAAGAATTATTAACATACATAAGGAAGGATTTTTGCATAGATCGGTTTTTTTTAGTAAACTTCTGTCTTTAATATTTATCATTCCCTCGAACTTTGTAACGAGACGTTAAAAAATAGCTTTTCATTCTATTTTATTATATTCTGGCTTCTGCGGTTTATATGTTTCAAATTTATTTCAGTTTTATCTTTTGTATTCTATCGAATATTCTATTTATACAGATTATTTTCAGAGTAACTGTTCCATAGGTAATCGATACAATTGGGCAGTAATTGTGATAAAAATAACTATTCAGTTAATTCCGAGCTCATTCAATCAATTCAATATACTGAAATTACTTTATATTTCATATCCCTTTTTGATTACTTCAATTAATAGAGACGAGAACGTATGTTTGCGTAATATACTGTTACGTGCAATTTTTCATTGTTCTTTTTCTGAAAAGAATAACAATTCAATTTGTATTTTTCATCTTGGCCAATAATGAAAAAATATTGCACGTTCTTTTTCGAGTACACCGTCAACAAATACCACAAAAGAAATCAAACAGACCATGAAATTGTATTAATAGAAAAAATAAACTCTTAGCGCAATTCCTTTCTCGTCGTAAAACACGGTTGAAATTGTCGAGTTAAAAACCTGTTACATTCCTCAACAAATTTCTGGCGGTAACAGTATCTTGGCCATTTCGGTGTTATCGGAGTTATACGACCGTGTGCTACAAACGGCGATCTTTTTATCTATCGACAATATTCGCGTATCAGCGAAAATTTGCGATGCAGACTTGCGTCAGCTCGGCGTCGCGCGACGCGCGGTGTCTACGGTGGCGGACTTTCGAAACCGGCTTGTATTTAAACGGTTGATAGATATTGACACTACAAGTTACCAGGAATGTGCGATTCGACAGCATTACCGCTACTCTGTGAACTTTACTAATTAGCTCTGTGATGTTAAACTCATTGACGATAATTAATATACAAACAACAACAACAATGTCGCGTTTCTTTTCGGCTTACCTGTTCGTTTGTAAGCGAGTTGTTTCAGCTGCAGTTGGATTGAAACCACGTGCATTCATATTCCGCGTTTATGAATAACACGTGCGCCTACGATTTTTACTTTCATTCACTGGTAACATGTAGCACAAGGCTATCTTTACCCGCTCTATGAATAATTGTTTCATATCGCTAATATATTTTAGCTGTAGAGGACAGTTCGTTCTTCACAGGTGATCAACAAGTGTCTCGTGTATGTATCTCCTTGGCGTGTCTTCAAACCTATAGGTATTCGTTCTAACCGGTGCAATTATGATAGCGGTCCCAAGTCTCGGGACACCTGTGCCTTCGTAGTTCAATATAATTTTCAATTTGCAACAGCTTAACGAGATAAGAATGACAACGTCCTTATTAGAGTCATTTTCGTAAGAATTGTTTATCAAGGGATTATTAACAGGTCATTACAAATTTGCAAAAAATCATACTTACGAGATCACGAAGTTATAAAATCACACAATCTCCAGCGTGCTATCTTAAAAATCTTACGTAAGCATGAATCAGATCTTAACTGAAATGTTTCATCTAATTGAACTTTTCGATTGAAAGCAAAGATATAAAACTGTGTCTAGATAATTCCAGGATATCGTCGGTGGTAAATGTTATTCGTAACGCACGGTTCATTAACTTCGTGTTGTACGAGCAACGCGAACTGAAGTTCTTCTATGCTATTTCGGATTAGGGTAATTCGATCGAACGATGCGTGCGCGGTAAAAGGATCCTGATAGTTATGCAATTCACTGCCCCGGCAGCGATGAACATTTTCTTACGGTTAGCCCACGTCTGTGAGACATTTAAGATTCGATTTAATACCGTCGGTGGTCTCCTGCGTGCAGATTCGTGTACCCATCCTCTAACAAAAATAGATGGCCGGTCTATCCACTTTCGGGCTTGTATGTATTCAATAGTGTATGTGGCCTTATTTTTTATTAGCCCTATGTCAGATTATATAATGATAACAGAGCGACCGTGTTATTTTTGCTCATTGCTCGTTGAACGTGGATATTACATCTGATTTGAATCAGTATGAAAAATAATTTAGTATTATTTTTTGTATTAAATTTGCCAGTCAAATAATTGTACGAATGCAAATGTTTCTATTTGCAAGTATAATATGCTTTATGATCAGCCATAATTACTGATTATATCTATTCTGCTTTCTTTTTATTAGTTCGACTGCTTCGGCTAATAAAGCATTTGCGTTATCTCGTAATCTCGAGTTGCGTTATCAAGCCGCCTGGTTTCTTCGGCTATTAGTCGCGATTATTTCTACCGTACTAATTAACGGAGTGCGTAACCATCGATATAGGCATCTAGTAAATACATTGTTTAATGACTGGTAAGTCGTCCCGGTTAATGGATGTCAGATCGTTAGTTTATCGTACGCGCTGCCACAGTAAAGATGTCGTAGTATTTTTATTTTGCACGTTTCTCTTATACGAGGGTTTCAGGTAGGGAATAATAAAAAGAGGAAATGTGTGAGTCATTGTGAGAAAACGACTCGTGCTATAAATTTTTTAATTCGGTGGAAAAAAAATATAATGAACGGAACCGACGCTCGTTTGTCAACGGGAAATGATTTCTATTCTCACGTGTCAGCAATGGTTCCAACGAGAATTATTCATTGTTAATAGAAATTTTCAGGTTTTTCCAACCGTGAATATTTGACATTTTTTTTTTTTGGTTTGTAGTAAATTTCATATATTTTTTTTACTATATCTCGTTTTATTACGCAGAAGTTTGGTTTGAACATTAACGGCATAAATACTTGCAATTATCAGATTTAACTGCTACTCTCATTTTAGCTAACACTCTTTTACATTCATGCACCTATATTCAAACAACTTCTCTCGGTCTCTTTACTCTCCTTTGAAATTTGATAATTAGCGTCTCTTTCGCAAGGATTCTCTTTCAAAGTGCGTTTTAAGGGATTCAACTCCAGGGATCTTTCACAAACGACACCTTGTAAGTTCGTGAGATTAAGTCCGAAAATAGAGACCAGAACGTTTAAAATATTTCACGTTTTCTTTTTTTTTGCTAATAATTAAATGTCACGGACAAGTTTCTCTAGGGAATCTCTATACTAATCCGTACGTGTCAAGCGTACAACACCAAGACACATATTTTATCAATAATTAATCGCCTTTCACTCAACACTTGCCGACAGTGTATAATTAAAATTGTTCGTTTCGATGACAGAACTAGTTACCTGCGACGCAAAGAATTAGAAGCGTACACCTCCGCATGATTTCCACCTGCTCTGTTCTCCCTCTAATTTACTCTCCGAATTCGTCGATGCACAGGTAAAAAGGTGCGAACAGAATCGTCCTCATTCTCGTTCACTTACATTCACGTTATTCGCATCAAAGCGAATTTTTTTTTAATCGAAATTCACTAATTAAAGTCACGAGCACAGAACAAGGGTGGTAGTTAATTTTTTTTCTGCCGGCGCGCGTTAGCGTTTCTTCGATTGGGCTCCGTGTAGTACAGATTAAAAGTCTACGCACGCGGGGAGAAGCTTCCACGGTGGAGGTTCGCGAGCGACTGAAGCTGCCGCTTCCATTCCGTTCGTCGTCAAGGTATACGAGGCGAGCTTTCGATCCGGACTCGCGCTTCCCCCGTGTGCCGCATACTTTCTCGATCTCTTGGCATTTTTCAGGCACCTCTCCTGCTGCCAGCTGTGCGTCCGTGTTCCGTTGTCAAATACCGGCTCTATCTACTTCACCGCGGCACTCGACACCGACGGAATTTTGTCGCGAGCCCGACTGTTTAGAAATCAAACCACGTGCTCTTTCTTTTTTCCGCGATTCGAGGGATTTCAGAAGTTCTTTCGAAGACTCGATCGCGTGAATATAAGCGCGTCCGCGCTTGTGCACTTTTTCATGGGTTAGCAGGTACACATAACGAATTTGGTCGAAAGAAAATTCACGTTATTCGTTGTTATGAAAGATAAATTTTATTCAACAAATATCTCGTCCATAAATCGGAATTTGGGGGATTAGGAATGTTTAATGTTGGTTATGTGTAATAAATCTAATAGCAGTTCAGAAACTGTAATGAATCGCGGTTTATGGTTTCAGTCGGAGAACAACAAATCCTGGGAAAATTATTTATTACCTCATTCAGTGATTTCCACATAGAAATAGTTTCGCTGAGAAGAAAAATCGCTTCTTCTAAAAGACACTGTTTCGTTCTTTCCAATAGAACTATAAAAATAAACACTCTTGTATAAAATTATAATAGTATTAATATTAAAAGAGGTTTCCTTTAGTTTGTATTTGAAATGCATCGTTGCGAATGATGTTTCTTTCACTAAACTAAAAACATTTCATTAAGTAGCGCCTACTGTGAATAAAATTAGAATTGATTATACTATTCTTAGCAATCCATTATCTGTGTTTTGTATTCAATGTCCACAGGTAGAAAGAAGGTGAAACGCACATGATTTCAACAATTAGTTCAGTCAATTGATCTATTTGTGTAATGTTATCTTCATCCTCCACAGTCAGTTTTATCTTTATGGAAGACACTTCGCTCGCTTATTACCTCTGGGCAGAAAAATATTAATTCTTCTCTATCTATCTCGAAATAATACACGTTCTAGTTCTGCTGTTCCATTTAAACTCAATGTTCTTCACAATTACCAATCGAAATCACCTTTGAATTATCGCTTTTATAGCAAATTTTTCCTGTAAGAAAAATTTTAAATTAATTTTCAACAATAGACTATTTTCTTTTTTGTGCATTATTATAATTATATGAGCTTTCGTCATGAAGAACGAAATTCATAATATGATTGTATCGTATGTAGCGTAGCAGAGAAACAAAACGATGTGATACATCAACGTTGAGCTTATTCTTATGCAAATGAACTCGTCAGAGGGTGCGCTTCTTTTTTCGAATGAACACGCTTAAAAAGAGATTAATCTGCATCGGAGTGAAACATCAGGTCGTCGGTGAGTTTTAGTTAGAAATTTCGCTTCGTTTTGACTGACTATATTGAAGACATAGGGTGATGTCAAAATAAAACGAAAGATTTCTCTCGGAAGTTACTATATAGGAGGTAGTTTGATTAAATTGTGTGTAGGGTGAATTGTTTACGTCGTATCATTGGAAAATATATGAGTTGCAGGTGCAAGTGCATCAGGAACCTTCTGAGAGAAATACATGTAGCACCATTGAGAAATAAATCTCACCATCGCCCGCGAGCATTATACTCTCTTTTTTATTACATTATGGGCCTCCGGCGTAAGAGAAATTGCTTCAGGCACCCCGTGTGTCTGGCCACTATCGCCGAATCATTAATATTCCCATGGTGTAAGCGAACGGAACGGTAACAGTCGACAAGTATCCGTGTTTCTGGCTCGTTCCCCTCTAATTGGGATGAGAGACGGTTTCTTTCGTGTCCCCGTATATCTCGTCGAACGAAACGTATCGTTGAAAATTTGTCACACACTTTTTGTTCGTCTGACGCTCGGTACGGTATTCTTACTCGAAGACGCGTGTTCGTAATTAGCGTATTGTTCTGCTTGAAAAACGAGGCGAGGGAACGGGTTACGATCGTTTCTACCTGCTCGTCTGAAAGGTGTGGTTCCCTCTGTTATCTTACGGGCTCTGAAAAACATCCAAGATTTTTCATACGAACGAAACGTGACAATATTTATATTGAGCACATAATATGAAAGATTTTAGTTTAGGATTTTGAGAAACTCTTACAATCTTCTATTGTAATGTATCTTTCATGAGGTTATTATTGAAATCCAGATAGTCATTTTTATTTTCCAAGTCTTCCTATGAAATACGAACTACGGTATATTACTGTTTATATACGAACTTCATAAAGAGGATTTCTTAAAGGATATTTTTAATTTGTTGTTTCATAATTTCACAGGAATTTCATTTTTATCTGCATATGTATATTAGGTCCTCGTTCTATTCTAGTGAACGTTTGTATTATCTTTCTCTTTTGATAAGGTACTTTCTCGTTACGAATATACAAGCTACGGATTTATTTTTTAATTTTAACAGGATTTGTAAAGAATCGTGATAATGAAATAAGAAGAATTGAGTTCTACGAATAAGCTTATATTCTTTGTTGAAGAGATGAATTCATATAAAGCCTACACGCTTATTAAAATTATAATAAATTCATTTTGGCGTTGCTTTGTCCACGGGAGGGAAACTATTTTATGATGAAATATTCAAACGCTGAAATAAAATATCATTGATTAAATCCGAAGCGATCAAATTAATTCGAAAGCAACGATAAATAATCGTTTCCCATGCGGGTAACACGTAATAATCGTGTCGTTCCTTTATCCCCACAATAGTAGCGTGCGCGTTGCGTCATCGGTCGTAATCATAACCGAGTATGAAAGAAATTCAGCGTTCCAGGGTTCGTTAAGGACGCGTGAATTTGAAATTGAAATCACGGTCGTTCGGTAATCTCGCGCGGCCACTCGATTTTCATTCAGACTATCATAAATAACCGGCGATCGTGTAGGAATGAATACCGAGCGTGTTACCGCTCGACACCACTTGCTTGGAGTAAATTACACCGATAGGTCGCTGTCGGTTGCGTAATTTTCGGTGCGTCGAGAAAAATTCGTGCTGCCCTTTTGAAACGATTAAACGAGAGCATTTTAATTGCCGCATCGACAGACAGGATCGTAAATGGCGTATTCGATGGGCACGTCGTGCCGTCAAACGACTGTTATGATTCCTCGAAGCTCCTCGATCTTTCCTGGCCACTCGAAAATAATCGGGTGGGAACGAGGGTAAAACGAATAAAGGGTTGCGGAAACTGGTAGCACGTTCTTGAGAAACTTGCGAGTTTAATCAGTTTCGCGAAAGGAGGTTGTTATGCAGGTGGAAGTAAGAGAAGACCGATGGAGGGAAAGTAATTGGTATACGTGCTTAAATTATGCATAATAGTAGTGGAGTTATGAATTTTTCAACTGCGAGATAAACTCAGTTTTCAATCGATCATTGATAATTCGGAATAATCGGAAATAGCTAGTCTCACACCTGAGATAATCGACTCTTACGTAAACAAAGATTAGGGGAACACAAAAATTATGCAACTTCTCTTAATCGGTGAATAAGATAAATGTAAACAATTCATGTAAAATAAAATAATCATTACTCAATAGTTTTCGTTTACAAAGCGCAGTCTGTTATTTAAAGGAAATAATTACGTAAGATAAGTGGACGAAGTAAACCTTGGCTCGATTAATTGCTGGCTTAACGAGAAGTAATTGCTGATTTTTGTTTTACCTTCCGTTTTCAATTTGCAGCTACCGCAAAGGAGAAACTGTAGTTCGCGGAGTGTTTGAACAATAATCTGTAAGTGTGCATAATTTTAATTCGACCTAAAAAAAACTGCTGCACGTTTCAACTGCATAGTTGTAAAATTTTTTCGTCATGTTTTAACTGTTTCAACGAGAACCCGATAAAAATTTCTCGTATCTCGTGTTAACGGATTAATTCGCAACGCCGACAGCGAAGGTCGCAGTTAATAGTACTCGGTAATTAAGGATGCTACAAATTACGGTCAGGAGAGAATAGTAATTCTGGTGCGCGTAAGCTTTTACTAGACACGTGCATAATCCGTTATCCGTTATATTTATACGGACAATCATGCTTTTTCGATGTCTACCTGCATCTGAACATCTCGTTGCCAATCAGCCATACGATTGTTGCGTTAATTTCGCTAATAAACAAGATAACTGTCGTTTCACGCTAAAGACGCGTCACGAATTCGCAATTTCCGTAGAAGAAAATGTACAGAATTCTTTCCGGTAAACCTCCTTTTAGTGCCTCGCGGCTGACTACAGCTGAGCAAATATCATTATCTTTATCGGTATTTTCTCGTCCTTGAACTCAACTGCCATCCATTAAACTGGTTTCCTTTTGCAATAACGAAACTACGTTAAAAATTGCTATAAGTGGAAGCGTGAAGAGCGTCTGACTCCTCTGACGTTCTTCTCTCGTTGTAAATCTTAGATTTAAAAAAAACAAGGAGAATTTTAGGTAGAGATTCTAGTTAGTATATGTTTATCATATTTTAATCATACATTTTTATCATTCCATTTAAAAAGAAATTTCGATGATCTTAAATTTTGAAAAATACAATCTTGAACAAGTATTTTTGCCTATCATAATTTTTGCCCCTCTGAACCAACTAATGTTTTCCTCTGACATTTTTTTCTATCATGACAAACAAGTGATATATTTTAGATACTCGAATTAGGTGAGAGATCCATTGTTAATAGGTATCAATTATTTAATTGGTGAAAGCTAACAGAATATATCAATTAATCATAAATCAATAGATCATTTTGTGACTGATTTCATTTAATTATAGTAATTAATATATTATTACAATTTATTTTTATCGGAAGCAATTAATATTCCATTTGGAATTCACAGCCGCGTTCAGAATGCAATCTATCATTTCAGCCGTTCGAAATATTTCAGCCACTCGAACTGGTCTTAAGATTCTCGAAGCGTACGCCTCACTGTGCAAGTTGTCGTTAATCATCGTTTGCATTCTGGCGAAATGGTTG